GAGAGAGAGAGAGAGAGAGAGAGAGAGATAAAAAAGAGAGCGAGAGAGTGAGGCTGCTATCGTCCAAAAAATAGCTGAATTGTTCACTTTTGTGATAAAAGCATGACACTTTGCACAATTACTTCTAATCAGGTATCATGTAACAAACAATTTGTGATATGGATCCAAGCTAGGTTAAGCTTTGGACTCGAGATCTGCGCATGTCCTAAAATCGCGGACATGGAAACTAGGCTGAAAATTTAATTGCCTACAAACAGGCCTTAGAGTACAAAAATAAATGATATATGGTAGATGATATAAAATGATAAATGTATACATGTTTATATTTATTTCTCTGGACTAAAAAGAGATGCCATCGTGTCCTGGGCAGCATACCGAGCATCCAAATCAACACTATCATCCTACCAGCCGGCATTAGTGTCGTTGCTGCCCATGTTCACTGAGAATGCCCACTCACTCGCCATGATTGCACACGCCATCAGTGTCACCGGTGCAGTCGTCAAGAACTTGAATCCAACCCAAATCCCCGTTGTTGCGGTTGATCGGTCGTTGTTTGCTTTGGCGAAGCAAATTCAGTGGATATTGGGCGGTGCATATGATGAAGACCATGTAGTTGTCATGATGGGGGGGATTACACATTGAGATGGCGGCCTTCAAAGCACTTGTCAAGTGGGTCCTTGGAAGCGGATGGACAGAGGCGCTGACAAATGCGTCAGTCGCATCGCCGGGAGTGGCAGATGCTTTCCTAGCTGCAAGCCACATAACGCGAACAAGACGAGCTCACCAAGTGACAGTAGTCAGTCTCCAATAAGGTAAGCATATGAAGAATACAATAAATCTGATGAGATTGACGAGCAAGTCCAATCGTTTGATGAATGGAGAAACGAGAAGATGAAGAAGTTCCCGCAGTTTCTCTACTGGGCCACTGTGCTGGATTTCGAACTTATTTGCCTCCAACGCGTGAGAGCTCTCCGAGAGGCTAATTTTTCCTTGTATCTTTAAGCTAGCCGAGATATCCTGCTATGGATGTTTGCTCTGGACAGCTATAACTATGCAAGATGTTTTTCTGTACATTACCGGGACATGTGCGAGCTTCCTGTTAAGCATCCAGATGTGTGTGCTGAGTTCCATAAAGGCTCTTTTGTAGTTCACAAGACGAAGAGGTTGTTCTCGTCAATCGCCCTAGACCACGCCCATGAGCAAGTCAATGCTGTCGTGAAAGGTGAAGGGGATGCTGTCGGGTTAATCGAAAATCCTGCTGCCCTGAGAAGATGGATGGTCGCTGGTCCAGAGCTTGCACGAATGGTTGGAGAATTTGAGGAAGTCATCTCCGCTAATGAGAGCCAGAACCACCACGAGCAAAAACCAGCCATCCAAAGTGCCTTCGCTAAAAATGTAGTTAACCTGGTGTCCTCTATCGCCGAGCTCGGCAGTCCGTTCAAAAAGATTGAAAAAGATCTTACAGCCCTCCACACGAAAGACATAATGGATGAGCAGACAGTTAGAACCGCACGACAGATAGGAGAGCAACAATGCAAACCATTTCTTAAAGAGAGACTTGAGGACAAAACCAAGCTTCTAACAGACACCCTCAAAAAGAGTAATCTACCCACGTTCAACGCAAAAGAAAAGAAGGTTGTGTCAAAAGATAAGGCCAAAGTGACGGTGTTAAAGGAAGACTCTGCCCTGTTCTCGAGACTCTACATTGCCTGTCAAAATAGCGACGGAAACCTTGACGACTTCTTCAAGTTCGAAAATCAGCCATGGCCGCCTTCGCTCTCACAGAAGGGGCAACTCCGAGGAGGCACTAAAGCGGATCTTGTCAAGTGCTTGTTTGATAAGTCCAGCCAGTCAGTGGAACAACAGAGAGTGGATGCAATCATTCTAGATGGAGCCGTTGTGGTCCAGATGCTTTAACACAAAGCCGTTAGCACTTTCGACGAGTACTTCAACTTCATATTTGCGCCTTACATCCCTAGGCAACTGGAAGATGTGAAGAGGCTTGACATTGTGTGGGACGTTTACAGAGACGACTATCTGAGGAAAGCTACGAGAGAAAAGCGAGGATCAGGCCAGAGGAAGAGAGTGTTGCTATCTACCCGAATTCCGTCTGACTGGAAGGGATTCCTAAGAGTTGATAACAGCAAAGACGAGCTCTTGAAACTACTAGCAACCAAGGTACGTGCGTGCTAAACCAGGAAGTAAACCATGCTATTTATTATGATGTCAAAATACCAAGTTTTATTTTCACTTTCTAGGTGGTTTCGCTACAGCTTCCAGAGGGGAAGAAAATAGTTGCAACACACAGAGAGAGCGTCCTGTCGTCTGAAGTCAGCGCAGATATGAGTGCTCTTGCGCCGTGTACTCACGAGGAAGCTGATTCCCGCATGATGATTCATGCACTCCATGCTAGCGCGCATGGCCATCGACGAATAAAGATCCGAAGTAACGATACTGATGTTGTTGTGCTGGCCGTTTCCATTGCTCCAGTTCTCCCGTTAGATGAGCTGTGGATCTCATATGGTTCTTCCAAACAAGTCCGTACCCTTCCAGTGCACACCATAGCTACATCCCTGGGTCGAGAGAAAGCGCGTGTGTTACCGATGTTTCACGCATTAACATGGTGTGATACGGTTTCATATTTC